TTCCAAATTTGTCCCAGAAAATCTGTGTTTCTGAGTAAGTAGAAAGCAGACACTAATTTTGGCTCAATAGAAACTTTAGTAAAATCACAACAACGAATCGATTGAGGACAGCAGACATGTTCAGACCAGCCTACTCTGATACGCTTGGATTCCTCCATTTTCACTCTTTCATCTGTGTCTGTGGAACTAACACAGCTAAACAGCACATGAAACGCCTCATGACACAGCACAGCTGACCTTTGTTTCAAAATATTTTGCTGTGTTGATTTAGATTTATTGTGATTGAGTCAAACTTTATTAAAGCAGAAGGAACACGATGGCTAACACAAAAATAGTTCATATTTAGAGCCAAGAGAACTTTGCAAATGGCCTTAAACTTGCTAATTCATTTTACAACTCCAGTTTCAAAAAAGTTGCTGGTCTAGTTTTGATGTCCCCTTTTTTTCCAGGTTGGCCCTTCAGGTTTACCTATAGCAGCAGTCAGTTGGCTTCCTGTTCGGTGCATTTAGAAGTCATTAAGCAGAATCCATTCTCAGCACTCAAAACCGAATATGCTGCTGAATCGTGAGCTCCTCTGTGTCATTTATGATCAAGTAGCTTGGTTCCGCTAACTTTCCCAATAAATTCATCTCCCGACTCCTCGATACTCTGTAGTACTAATGAAGCTATTAGGAAGATGCAGTCTTATGTTGATGAATGGGGCCAGCTTTCCAAAGTTTTCCAGCTTCCTTAACTTTTATTTCTGTTCTTTCTTTATTCTTTTGTATTTTTCAGCTGTGCTTTGGTTAGGCTTTAATTAGGTTCTGGTTTTGGTTAGGGTGTGAAAAGTTTACTGCTCGAGTTAAAAAACAATGATTAAATCCAGCAGAGCAAGTCTGGCAGGGAGCACTGAACGTACACTTTTCCCGTGTGAGTTTCAGCTGTGTTTTCTGATATCATGACAGTGCATTTTTTGACGTTATCCAACACATTTTGCAACAAGGTTTCCTCTAAACGATCCTCTGCCCTAAAAGCATTTCGCTGCCACATCAGTTTATGTCTTTTCTTTCTCTTCTTCCCTATGTCCTCTGCTGTCACAGAAAGCAACATGCCTGCAGGTATTTCTGCTGGTGGGTGGGTGGATACTCACTGTTTCTCCTGGCGTAGAGGCTGAAGGAGGTCTGCATCTTACTGATTTCGTTCCGGACACTGATGTCCACACAGTGGTAGCCAGCAGAGGCGAAGGTGAGGTTCAGTTTCAACATGTTGTCATACAGCATGGTCAGCGTGCAGCCCTCCGTCACGTCCGGCATGCAGTTGGGGAGAAAACGCCAGCAAACCCATAAGGGAGGACTACACACACACACACACAAACACAGGGTTGAGGAGCTTTTCTTTATAATACAATGACAAAATTAATATTAAATAAAAAGCTGAATGGAAAAGAAAGGGCACTATTCAGGCTCACGCTATTTTAAACTTGCATTGATATAGCAATGTTTCTGGTAAATGCAGCTCACCTTCCATCAACATGAAAAATCAGACTGGCGTCCTGTGACACCTCATATTCTGATGGCCCCTTCAGCTCGATGTTCTTGATGGCATCTACAAATAAGTTTTAGCTATTAGTCATTTTGTTCTTTAGTGGGAAAACTTTACAGAAGTGTTCTAGTTTCCCCACACAAAGACCACAAAATCAAGATGATAGCATTTTGGAAATTTTTCCCTACATAAATCCCATTAATTCAACTTAATTTTACTCTATATACGCCCCTTCTGCACCATGAACTCCCTCCCTCAAGTTTAAGAAGTACTACTTTGAAAACACCTTAACTTAGAATTGCTACCAAATCTGCTTTCTTATGAATCCTGATAGTTACATCAGGTCATCACGTCACAGTTCAAATTAAATTTTCCAGGAATGTTCAGCCTACAGCAGACTGCTTTTTCCTATTGAAAATGACTGAAAATAATTTATACAGGAATATATTAATGCATATATGAATTCAAAGCCACAAACCAAGCACTTGAACCTCTGCGGAGTAGACTTCGGTCACCGGAGGTGAATATTTGGTCACATTTGCTCCCACTTTCAACCACATTGTGTAGTTTCCTGATTCTGGGTAATAATAGCGGACAACCGGCTCAGTGCTGTTAATCACTTGTCTGTATCAAAGATCAAACAAGAATATGAGACAAAGACAATCATCTCTAACATTTTTTTTAATCTATATTTAAAAGTGTGAGAAATCATACCCGTTCCCTAAGTCCCAAGTATAGGTGAACTTTGCTGAGCTGAAATTCTTTTGGGGATCAAAGAGTTCAAACATAGTCTCTGTGGGAACATATGACGCCAGTTCACCTCTGTCTCTCACGTAGGTGGCATTTCCCTCCATTTGATAGAAAACAAGCTTCCCTTTAATATTTTCTAGTCAAAAGAGAAGCTGTATTTAGTTGCGGAGTCAAGAAGAATGAACAGTAAAAGAGAGACAGATAGAAAATGGATGACATACTCAAATCTATCAGAGACTCTGTAGTGTCTGTTCCACCCAGGAGAACCAGTATGGGAAGCATCAACATCCACACGATGTGTTTTCTGGAAGCACGGGTATGAAAGTTTGAAAACGTGTCAGTTAATGATGTTAATGTGGTGGATGTTCGACTTACCCGTCCATATCTGCTCGTCCTCTCACAGTATGAAGTTAGTTCTGAAAACAGGAGTCGAGTGACATCGGGGAGAAAGGATGGAAGGCTGTTACTTCTGGTCAGTGAGATTAAGAGATAAGAGCCGTAAAGGCTTGAAATCATAACCATGCGTTTCAATCACATGGATGATGAGCAACAATCGGCTTTTGAGTAGGTGGTTTCGGCCTGGGTCACATTACTGTCAGTTACATGGGACAACTTCTTAAATGTGGTGGTTTTATCTCTGTGTTTATCGGATCTGGAAATTATCATCAGCTCAACAAAAATTGCACAACTACTGACTTGTTACTGGGACAGTACTTAAATTGAGTTAACCCTAAAGAAGACTGAAGCATGAAATAATTGCCTGAAAATTTTCATTTTATTTTTTTAAATTTTAGTGTTTATCAAACCTTCTGACATTTTTTTTAAAGAGAGAAGTTAATTTGTATCATTTTTGCTTCATTTGGCCTTTTTTTGCAATTGTAAGAGGGTTACAAAAACAAATCACAAAGACGTACGCGATATACGTATGAGATATGACACTCTGGATGTTACAGGGCTATGTTTACTGTTAATTTTCTTTTTTTCTTTATTTCTTTGTTTTTTTTTTAAACTCTCTTACATGCAATGTAAAACATGGAATCTGGTCAAATGACATACTTGATTATTTTCCTAAATGATTAAATATTCAAATACATAAACCTTTCATTTAACTTTAGGGTAAAAAAAAAGGGTAAAACATCAGTTATTTAATGTAATTTAACTAACTTATAGATAAAATCCTAAAGGTCTTGCTTCACTTAGAGTTTAATTTTTCCCTCTTTATTTTGCACACTCTGTCACCAGTAGCAGTCAGGCTGTTAAGGTTGCAATAACATGTAAAAAATGTATAGAAAATAATTTAACTTTTCATTTGTCCATTTTTTTCACACACTTGTGTTTTAAATATGTGGTTACAGAAAAAAAATCACTAATGTGTAGCAAGATGACATGCTGCTGAGACCTATTGTTCTGGAAACTACTACAAAGGTGGGTTTGAGTTCATCTGCAGGTGTAGTGCTGCATGTCTCTGGGCAAATTTTACCATGACAAAAGATACAGTTACGCAACTTTACAAGTCCATTGCTGATATCTAAATGAAGGCTAGTTTCAATGATGGGTGTGGTTTGCAACTCACTGGCATTGAGATTGCTGTGATTACATCACAGAAGGTTCAGATAGTTTAAGCTTGTTAGTGTGGTGGGAGATCTTAGACCATTTTTAAGCACTGAGAAAGCAGCAGGCTCAGTGTAAATCAGCATAAATTGTACCTGCTTTGAATTTAACTGCACATAAAGTGAATACTCAACTGGAGTGTGACAGTTGCATTCACCTCTTAGTATTCATGTTTATAACTTCCATGCATCCATCCTCTTCCACTAATTCAATTCAGGGTCATGGGGTCATGCTGTTGACAAATATGTCAACAGCACATGCATGTACTTAAACAGAGCATGCTGGTTTGTGAACTATACACATATTGTGTATAAATAAAGATACATAACGCAAGAGAATGGTCCAAATTGCATTGTTAAATAATATGTACATTACCTGAAGGTTTACAAGCTGATCCTGAACATTGATATAGTATGTGTCAAAATATGGCAGTGTATTTTTAACTGTAAATCAGTCCGGATTTACCACTACTAGGCTTGTGATTCATCATATTTTTCAGAGTCTAATAAAGTCCTAGTGATTTGTACTACTGCTTTGGATGGATAAGTCTTCCTAATTACTCATTAAAATCCCCAAACATATAGCCAATCGTTTAAGAACTCATAGGTTGATGGGATATTGATGATAAATCACAATTATATAGCCCACATAACATAAAAAATATACCCACTGACCTTTCATGTACAAAGATAATATTCTGATGCATTTCACCTGTTGAGAGCTACTGATGGTGTATTCAGCATTAGAGGTTAAAAATCGCGACTAACTAAAGTTTAAAGAGAAGACTAGTTTGAGTTGAGAAATAATACGAGTTCTCGTTAAAGTACAGATTTCCAGTAAACCTTCTACGATTTATTCATGGTCGAAAACTTCCTTCGTCACTGTGACGGTACTATTTATTGTACAGCAGCGCCCTCTCCAGGCCAAAAGCAATATTATATCTAAAACCCACTGACAAAATACGTCACATTTCTGTGGTGTTTTTCGCTAACAGTCCTGAGAATCAACAGCCCACAGCTTTCTAACTCACCAGCTGAGAACTTTGACCTGTGTAACACCTCTTGTGACGTCACCCTCCTCCACCACCACCACCCTTCCGCGCTGCCCCCCCCCTCTTCGCCCCTAAAGGCACGGGGAAGTCTCTCGGTGTCCCAGTCAGTTCGTCCGCCGCCGGCTGCACGAGCGTTTCAGCTTGCTCGCGTGCACAGTGTACAGACACGGAGCAGGATTCGCTGTGGGATTTATTACTCGGACCGACACAACTCCTGGATTACCAAGTGTCTTTTTGTTCTCCGCTTTGTTGTTATTTTTTTTTTATATTATTTATATTGTGTGTATATATATTTTTATTTTTTTATTTTATTTTTTTAATTCTGAGCTTAAAAAACAACCTGCGTGATGGCTCGGGATCCGGAGCATGTGAGCAAGCTCACTGAAAGTACTTTTAAGGTGAGTGATGCATTCAGCATTTAAGGAGATACCTGTTTTGTTTTATTTTTATTTTTTGGGAGGGGTCGCTTTTTTTAATGTAGTTCACTTCACGTGTAATCAGAAATTTATAGTTCGGCCTGCTTTGTTGCTTTTTAACAGTGGCTGTAAACCACAGGTAAAGTACCATAAAATAATGAAGTGTTTCCCTTACCTTTTGTTACCTCTTGTTTCAAGGACCTGTTTTGTGAGGGGGTGGGAAAAAGAGAAACTGATCGTGCAACTGAAACTTTCTGTTGTTTACCAGGGGAAAAGAAAATTCAACAATGCCACTGCCACAGCAGGGACACTCCCTGTTATTAAATAATTTCGTAAATCACAGTGAACCACAGCAGTGTTAAAGCTTCTCACAGCTCAATCAATCTGCTGTGGCTTTATCAGAACATCTGAAATCACTGGAGCAATAATTTGAGTGTAATCTTGATTGGTTGTTCCTGGCTAATCTAATCAACATTATACTTCTACCTCTCAATGGTGATAAGCAGTGAGCCTTCACTGTCTATGACCTGAAGTAGAAATAGACAACAGTTTAGAGTAAAAGTTTAAGTATGACAGTTGGGTTGTATTTGGGTGCATATTGAAGTGCCCTCTTTGGTTTGGGGAGCAGGGAAAAAGAGACTGAACTAGTCCTACCTGAGGTTTACAGTAGTTTACTGTTTTTCCTCTCAGCTGCCCCCCACTCATGTAAAGCCATACCTGCCCCCCTTCATTGTTCTATTGAGAGTGTGCCAGGGGAATAGAGGCAGGGGGTGAGCATTGCTTGATTATTGGGAGATTACAATAGAGGGAGGGGGAGATGGGTGGTTTGGTGAAAGTGATGAAGTTGGTGCTACAAATAGCTGGGACTTTGTGTGGGACTTCGCTCTTTCGAGGGAGTTGCATGGCATACGTGAGGGGTCAAGTTAAAGATTGAAAGTTTTATTGTTCTCACATGGAGATATTTATAGAGCAACAGCACAAACACTTGCTCTTGTTTTCATGGATTTCTCTTCTCCACCCACTCCCACAAAAATAGCCTTATGAGGGTTTTATTGTTAATGACGAGACCTTTCAAAAGGGGAAAAACAAGTCTTAAAGTTAAAGTTGTTTGTTTGCTTTTTCTTGCTTTTATCCACAATAATAAGACTCTGCTCTTTACCCCAGAATGTAATGGAGCAGTTCAACCCAGGCCTGAGGAACCTGGTCAACCTCGGAAAGAGCTATGAGAAATCAGTCACAGGTAAACACAGTTTTCACCCTCATGAGGGACAAAAGGGCATAAGCCCGTAATGGTCCGTAACCGCTACAATGAATTTTGGTGTACCTCAGCTGTTTTTACACTGGCAGCACTTTTAAATGGTCAAAGCAGAGCTATAAATGATCCTGGAAATTGTCTGGAGCTTAACAGTGTCTTGTCTGTCTGCCCGCACAGCAATGGCTCTTGCTGGAAAGGCTTATTTTGATGCAGTGTCAAAGATCGGAGAAACTGCCATCGTGTCTCCAGTCTCCAGAGAGCTCGGTGAGTATTATGCAAGTCTACTTTAAATCTACCTGCAATGTGGGAGCTCTCGAGAGGGTCTGTCTGATATCCATGCTAGAAATGTCTCTGCTGTGAGATTGAAGCTTTTAAAAGAATGTGACTCTAAACTTCCTCTTGTGTTTAAATACAATTAAAGGAATAGTTGGAGATCGTGGAATAATTATTTTATTAAAATTTATTTAAAGTTAATGTCTCTACACGAAAGTAAGAATATAGCCAGAAGCCATTAGCTTATTATAGACCTTGAAAACTAAACTAAACCAACAAAATCCACTTTGCTACCCCAAAGAACAATTCACAAATATTCTGTGTTACTAATGTGCAAAAACACCAATTTGTATCTATGTGCCTCGCTGTTGTCAACAATTAGTTTGTGAAAGACCATTTTGAAGCCTCAGTTTGAGTATTTTTACAGTCACCATGAAAGACCTTGAAAGTGTACTCATACAGTAGAAACTAGCTGGAAAATGTCTGTTTAACAGATTATAATACCTGTACCCTGAATCATACCTTGTTCAGTTGTCCCTGTTAGAGTATTCATGTAAGTTGAGGAAGTCGAACACATTTTACATGGATCCCACTTTAATCTTAAGTGTTCTGGTAGTTTAACTGCACATTTAATCCCAGAGAGGACTTGATATATGCTAAAGAAGTGCACGTCTCAGTTTTTCTACATGATACATACTATATAGGAGTAAATTGTATGAAATAAATTACAAAACATTTTCTGGTAGCTCGTTGTCCAGATTGTGCTGTAATTAACAACAATTACTGTTAATGTGTTAATTCACAAAAAATGTCCTTTTTTATTTATGTATTTTACTGTGAACACATTGTAAAACATAAGGCCCAGGGCTGATTCTGGCCGCTGCTCAAAATTATAATTTTTCAAAATAAGCATTGTGCTCTATTAAATAAGACTTAAAATTAGTAACTGAGACCTTAAACACATTAGTAAAGTGCATAGTCATGTCATAAATCAAGTGCGAAGTAACTTCATTTTCTCATAAATCTATATACAAGCCAAGTTCTTTTTACCAACCAGACAAGTCGCCCCCTGGTGGCTAGAATGTAGGTTTAAAGTACTGTAGCAATGGATTGACTTTGCAGACTTGAAGTTTTACACTTGTGCTTTGATTAATATCAGTGTGACAGATTTATTTTTGTTAGCATGGGAAAGGGCAAGCTAACAAGTATAGGCTTCCTGTTTTCCTCTTGATTGCTCTATTTGTACTAGCTGTGCAAAAAAACCCTACAAACCCTACACCTGTACAAGTTGACAACATTTGATAAGAAACCACTTTGTTCCCAAACATTTTACATATATTTTCTCTAGAAATGATGCTAAACTCTCTCACATCCTGCCAGTATTACGTGAGCTGGACACGTATCAAAATGCTCTTTCCTGCAGTTTCAGCGTAATAGTGACACGTTCTGCTTGCATTACCCAATATGCCAGTTAATTATACAAGCATCTGAAAATAACAACGCTTCAACCCTGGGGGTGAGGTACTTAGCAGAAATTCATTATTATGTCCTGTCTATGTCTCATTCCAACTGAAGCACTTTCTCTTTTCAGCCTCCTCTCTGAGGCTGCCATCGAGCACGTACAGGTTGTTTTTCATCCATCCTCTGAGTCATCTGCAATTATTCTATCAGTGCTGAAATTTGGAGCCGACCTGCTTTGTTCGGGGGGGGGGTCATATTGCAATTCATTAAGTTGCTTTTTGTATTCTGCTGCATCACCCTGTAACGCCGGGCTTTGCAGTTCGGCCTTTTTATGAATCAGAGTGATGTGACAGGAAATCAGAGCAGGGTAGTTAAAAGATGATGTTGTTGTTGTTTTTTGTAAAGGACTATTGTGATGACAGTGCTTGTCTCCTGTGTTGTGATTTCTTCGCTGTTATTTCTGAACAAGTTTTCTTATTTTAAATTGAATCTGCTTTCCTTTAAGCCTTTGTTAAGCTTTGATACGATTTTAGACTAAAAATCAAATAATTTTTAGACGAAAATAAAAATTTCAGTGAAGGACAAAAGCAGTCGTGGTAAAACACAGAGATGAAGAATGCGTTTTAATGCTAAAGTAGACTCCCAGACAAGATTCTCAGCCTTTTCTTGCTCAGTTTCTTTTTCTGAATTTTGAGGATAAAACTCATAAAAAAGCATAGACTGAAAAAAGAATAGTGCAGCCCATCTAGCTACAAAGTGGCAACGCACACAATGGAAATTTGTATTTTGACATTCTGACAAGGGCTGAAATGTTTTAATGTAATCGGAGACGTCTCATACTGCGCTGTTATGAAATGCTGCCCATATTTGTTAAGGCGCTCTTGTCAGCGAACAATAGCAGTTTTCATTTCTTCATTTAATAATATGTTGGTGTTACGTAGCCTTGTCTGTGCATACCAGAACCGCTGAAGTGAAACTGTTTTACGAACACTAAATTCTACTTTCTTTCTTTTTTGTTCTCTTTCCTGTTGTGGAAAGTCACAGATGGGAGGACTCTGAGCTTTCTAGTCAAATCTAGCCTTATTGAAACAGACCCCTTCTGGTTAACAAATGCTCAAGAATAGAGTTTGTGCTACATGGTTTGTGTATTCTTCCTTTAGGTGCATTCATCTGTACTCCCATCACGTTATGTGACTTCAGTCATAAAAAAATCAATTCGACTTTGAATAAGAATGAATACAGAAATGGCAGGTGAAGTGTTGAACTCCAGGCTCCGTGGCCGTTCCTTCACCGCCTGGCGTAGACGACATGATGGTGTGAATTCTCTCACCCACTGCAGCACGTAGAGTTGCAAACGTGCTGAACAAACAGACAGACAGGCAGATAGACAGAGGAGACCATCTACCCACCGCTGATCCTCATCCTCATCCCCCTATCCCTCCATCTGCCTCTCCAAACAGTCTGAAAAAGAGGATGCGAGTGTTTAATCTTTATTTACTCTAAGCAGCACGACTCTTCAGAATGAGGCACCTGATAGATTACTCTGCACTTCTCTGCTGCAGACACCTGTAAAGATCTTTTCTCTGTAGTCATAGATTGTTTTGTTTTTTTCTCTTCCTCCCTCAGTGAATGGCACAAAGCTCGTGCGTCACAGAGGTTAGCAGGTATTTGCTGAAAGCTACCCGAGGCTTTTACTTGGGTGCTGCTCAATTTCTCAGATTCTTGCTGTGATGGATGTGAAAGTAATAAGAAAAGTTTTTTTTTCTTTTTGAAGAAACACTAAGTGCTCAGATGAGTGAAAGCCTTTAACCGGTGTCACTCTTCTTGCACTCCTTTAATTTCATTTAGTGGATTCATAAAAGGCAGCACTGTGGGGAATTCATTTTATCAGTAAGTTCCTTGGATAAAGAGCTTTTCAGCCATGCACTCTTTTTGTCCCACATCTCCTTCCATCTGTGATCATTCAGTGCACTGCTGCTACTAACTACTGCTGTCTGTCTCTGCATAGCTGGTTTGCAGACTTCTATAGCTGTCGCCTGCTTTTGCTACTCCTAAATTACATTTCAGCGGGTCATTACAAAAAGTTTTCTTTTGATTGATGAATGTCATATCCAGTGGGTTTACATTTCGAAATTGCCTATGCATGAGCAAATGGCCGGACTCCACAGGGAGCTATTCCACTTTGAAAAGCGGCAGGTATCGAAAGGCTGAAAATGTTACAGGCGAATGAATAGCACGAACCGCACCCCTTCCACCTTTTCTCTGCACTGTTTGTCAAGCCTTAGTTCATTTTAAAATAATAATAATAATATTGACGTAAACTGACTGCAACAGAAAAATGGTTATGTCAGCCAGAATGATTTTTCTTTCACTTTAGAGAGTGAGAATTCAGAGCTGGGAGTCTGCTGAGTGTGTCCTGCTGATAGCTTTTGTAGCAGGTTTCTGCTTTTGAGAGGCACCATTTCTTCTGGAGGCTGGTTAATGTTATGGTGAATAAGACTTACTGGCACTTCAAATATCTTTTTTGTAGCTGTTTCAGAGGATGGCTTTAATCTTTAGACATGACACTCGGTAAAGCCTATGTAGTCAGTGTGCAATTAAGCAGTTTATTTTTACTAACAGGCAGAAATGATTCAGAAAAGTCAAAAATGTACCTTGTTTCGAAGAAATCCTGCCCCTCAAAAAAGAAAAAGAAAACACGTTGCAAACTTAGAACTGCAATATCCTGCAGTGTTGGACTTTGATGAGTAAAAATGTGTTTCTCCTTATCAAATGTATTTTTATGATGCACGTTTTAGCTGGAGTGATGGTTTAAGTGTCTCAGAAAGGTATGCTGGTGAGTCAGCGTGCATTTTAGCATGACCCTGGAACCTGATCAGCTTAAAAGGAGCAGTCATTTTTAAGTCATTAGTAATACCTGTGTCTTTCCTTTGGTGACATACCAACATTTTTTTTTCTCCTGTGGAGAATCATCTGTGATGTCGTTTCTTTTTTTGCCTGGCTTTTTCAGATCAGCTGTGTTTTAAAAGCGCTGTTCTCAAAATAGTGGTGCTGTGATGCATTATTTACACCCATTTTGAAAAATCAAAATCATTGCCATCATGATTGTGAAGTAATAATGGAATAACAGAAAATTATAGAAGTTGAGGTAAAACAAAAGTTTAATATTTCTTGAGAAAATGTGTTTGTTTCGTTCTGGGAGTTTAGCAAAACGATTGATGTCCTCTTTTAATTCATATGCTATAACTGGGAGAAAATGGTTGGGTATAGCATGACTACATTTATTGTGACCACGTGCAATGAACTTGCAATCTCATTGCGTATGGCTGATGAGTTGTGATAATTAGCATAGACTGACTGAGATTGGAGCGTCCTGGCTGTCTGTCTGTGTTTAAAAATTAGACAGCACTTACTTGCAAACCTTTACCAGTCTGTGAGAGCGACTGCAGACAGTCCAAGTCAGACTGTAATTGTGTGGGGACAGGTTGCTTCATCCCAGGTAACCTGTGGAATCACCTTGCCTTCAAAAGTGGTCCCCCAGAGGCTCTCTGGCAATTTAGCTGACACAAGTACTAGCTGTTTGTCCTCAAGTGTAGAAATGTCCAGTTCAATCAGTGGATATTCTTTTTTCCAATTTCTTCTTCTTCCCTGGAGACAAGGAGGTTGCTGTCCTATTTTTATTCTAGTGTGACTGCGCCATTAATTTACAATACAGCAGCCGGAGATCATTAACTTATTTAGTTTAAAGACTGTAAATGAGAACATTGCTAACACTGTTAAGAGGTTAAAAAAAAATCTACCAGCCTACACCTCAAAATCACATTTGGACTACTTTTACATAACATCTTATTTGTGTTATCTTTGTTACTCTCATACACAGATTGGCTAAGCTGAGAAATTGAGGCTGAAAGTTCTTTACATTTATTTGCAGACATGGTATATATCCTACTGTCTAACCATGGGCGTGATTGAACTAATGAATCATCCAAATTAAAGTCTTAAAACCTAATATCACAGCGTATGAGAAACTAAACAGCTGACATTGTGCTTGATATGAAACTTCAATTGTGTATACTGTACATATGATGATTGTTTTTATGTAACAACCTCAACTAACCTCATCTAACCTTTAGAAGTCCTTTGAAGCTGGTGTTTAATTTAATCTATTAGGAAAATTGAGACTCATTGTGCTCGGGGTATTATTGGCTCTGGTATTAATAAATGATATTCTGTACTCTATGTGACGGCAAGTCATTGCTCTTTGTCAAGCCAGCTTACACTGATATTTATTGTCCACAGACCAAGTAGATATTTATTCACTGTAACTACTCAAACCATTAAACAACATTCAACCAAAAAATGTTACTGTGGGTGATTGTTATTGAAAAGAAACTTACAAAACTGCCTCACTTTAAGTGCCATTTCTTTAGTCATTCTGAAGCTTTTGATCTCTCTTTTTTTTAAAGGATATTATAGTAATCAGTAAATGTTTGCCGAGCTATCATATCTGTATTTTCCTCAGAAGAAAAAATGTAAGCACATTTTCTATAATTTATTTTATTTGTAATGCAACTATTTGCTTTCTATTCATTACTTACTACTTTAAAAAATGTCTTCTTTGTTTCTGGCAAACCTTCAGCTGGCAGTGCCTAAAGAATCTACCTTGGTGGATTATGCCAACACCCAGCCGGCAGTGTGAAGGGAAATCACGTGAAACACTAGACATACTTCCTTTAATGTAGTCTACAGTTGCACTTTGTTCATGAAGTCATCTGGATGGATGAACTGCATATTGCGGTTCTCATTATCATTCTCGATATCATCGATTACAGTGACATCATTATGTTGATGTTAAGGGAGTAGCTCCTCCATGGCAACCCCCAAACACAATCCTTGTCCCACCTTCATTGCGATGTTTATAACTTGGATCCTGATTCACACAGGAGGTGGCCATGATTCACTGCAGACACTGCATGCTTGCTGGAACAAGCCCAGTGATGTGTCTCGGTGATCAAACCACGTTGCGAGACGGTGGCCGATGACTGGGGACACTTCCTGAGCTAGTTGATTGCTGTGTACACTCGTTGAATGGGTGAAACATTAGTTTGATCAAACTTTCAAACAAAGAGAGTCTATGCTAGAAAAGTCAGTGCTGCTGTTTGCCATGCCAACATCACCTCATGTTCCTTATCTAACTCCACATAGGCACTTTTTTTTTTTTTTTGCTTTTTTGTTGGCACAGGGCATATCCGTCTCATAAAAAGAGTCACCTGTTGACAGTGTCTAAGGCCTTGTCTACTCTGCGATGTATCAGCAGTTATTCAATAGTGCCAGTTGTGGAGACATGGTGCTGTTTGAAGTTTAACATAATCTCAAAGAAATGTCTCTTTAGGGATTCATTTCAGCCTTTGCTTTGTTTTACAGCGCAGTTGTGTTATGGTTTTTCTTGCTTTGTTTAGGCTTCAGATCCTCCAAACAACATGTGTTTGATTAAAATCCAAAGGTCATTTAATGGCGTCGTAAGACACCTTATCTGTAATATACAGGCTAGAGTAAATTTTACATGGACTCAGCGGGTGTTGAATGAGGGTTTCGGCATTAATAATTGTGAATCACAGGTGTGAATCATGTGTGCTTTTTCCACAAGGATCTTTTCTCAAACTTGTATTAACCTGCAAAAAAAAAAAGTGAACGTGGAGTTGTTCATTTGAAAAATTTGAGGGGAAGTTACACTGATATTCAGACACAGATATTCAGATGAATTGAAAAGCCCTGTTTTCTGTTAAAATTTAAGTAAAAATTATGTAGGCAGTTACAGCTTTTTGGCACTCTAGCTATAAAGACTTTTTTTTTTCTTTACCTGCACTTAAATTTTTTTTTTTAAAAATCGCAGACGTCATACATTGTGCTGTTTTTCTTAACTCTGATTCAGCTGTCAGTTGTTCATGTGATAGGCTCATGCACCCTCTGATGGCTTTCTGTAGCATTTATCCTCACTGAAGCAGGCTTTCACACCTTGTTCACCCCAAAGGTGAAACTGGCAGGTGTACAATGGCCTCTTTGAACCCCGCCGCCTCCCCCTCCTGGCCTTTCTCAGCCTCCCCCTTCCACCCCATGTGGTCTGTTGTTGAGACTGTGCAAACAGCTCAACATCCAGTGGCCACCCCCCACCAACCCCCGGGTCGAAACACAAAGGCAGCATTTACCAGTACGTTCTGGTGACCTTCAGAGGGCAATGTTGTTGTAGCTGGATGCTGCCTGCTGGACACAAACGTACACTTCTGTATCGTTACGTTTGTTTGCTCTGAGCTGGGGAGGGGCTGTCATATAAAGAGGAATGTCAGGTGTTGGATCGAATGTATATGAGTAGGTGTTCAAAGGTGGAGTGTGCTGACCAGGGTGACTTATAGAGATTTTTTTGTTTTCACCTAAAAATGACAAAGTGAAACTGATGCTTGTGCTTTGTACACGTTCTTCACAAGGTGTTGAAATCCATGTAGGTCATTCACTTTTGCTCTTTTCCCTCATTGACTATCACATGTTTAGAAATGAGGTAGAGGGTGGGGGGTGAGGTGTGCTGTGCATGTTTTGCCCTGTAATAAACCTCGACTCTAGATTTCACCCAATTGTGATAGAGGTAGCAGTATAAACTGCTTAGCTATGATTGTCCCCTTCTGTTTACAGTATTGAGTCACTCCCATTGTTTCATGTCATATGCTGCTCGGTCTGTGCTTTAGCCTGTCTGTGAATGGAGACTGTTCTGTAATCGACTGCACAATACCAAAATGTTTCATAGGAGATTACTTATTGACAGCTGTTCAAATATTGAAAGAAGAGAGGTCATCTGTAAAATATGGACTGTAACAAATGTATGACAGGCTCGATGGATTTATACACAAAGTTTCTGAAAAAGTAATAATTGTTGATATTATGTTTTCGGATCTGTGCCTGCTGGTTTCCAATGCTGTCTCCTACCCCTCATAAAGAAACGGGTTAAGATTCATGGTATTTAATCTTCGAGGATTTCCTGCGCAAATTTTGATTAAATGATTGGCTACCTTCTTGTGTCCCTATAGTAAATGAAGTTAGAACCAGCAGTAACAAATCAAAATAAGGTAGCTTTTTGTGGGTGTAGAGCAAAATAATTCTGTCAAAGGGTGTTCTAACAATAAATCTCTGCCAGCAACTTTAAAGCTTAGTAAACCTTTTGTCAGTAAATCATTTTTAGAAATATGTACAAACCTTGTTTGTTACTGGCTGAACAAAATGGGACCAAGGATTGCACCTTGTGGAACCCCACATGATGCACAAATCAATGATTAGATGTAATTACTGAAATACTAAATCTTCTCCTGAATTTTTCCTCAGGTGTGGTTCTGATGGAGATTGCAGAAGCCCAGAAGAAGGTCCATAATGACCTGGAAGATAACGTAAGTACCTTTTTAAAGAAGAAGTCATATTTTTATAATTACTGTCAAGTCTCTCACATAGCATTTTTAAAATATGAGTATCAAAGACGGAGTCACAAAGTAAGGAAGTATTGCAGGGCAAAAACACAATATGTGCTGGCTTTATCCTGAGCAAGCTATTAATTACATTAATTACTAGCTAGAAGTATTTATGGCCTCAAATGCTTATCTCTAAATGTTAGTGAATTTTTTTTTCCCCCTCTGTACTCTCGCTATCACAAGCCTCTACAAACCTTTGAGTTTAAAATCGTTGTAAGCAAAAGTGTCAGAACTGCCGACAAAGTAGAAAAGCTACATGATTATTTTCCGGACCTGACGCCTTAGGGCAGGGGTGTCGAACTCCAGGCCTCGAGGGCCGGTGTCCTGCAGGTTTTTGATATCACCCTGGGTCAACACACCTGAATCAAATGATTAGTTCATTACCAGGCCTCTGGAGAACTTAAAAGACATGTTGAGGAGGTAATTTAGCCTTTTAAATCAGCTGTGTTGTATCAAGGACACATCTAAAACCTGCTGGACACCGGCCCTCGAGGCCTGGAGTTCGACACTTGTGCCTTAGGGTAAAATGCTTGAGATACCTTGTGACAACATATAAACGGAAGACAAGTATTCCCAAATGAAATATGTCAACAACTGAAGCCATTATCAAATATTCCAGAAGATCACTCCATGCTTACTGTATACAACGAGTGATGTGACTGAACTGAACTGTAACTTTGATGTATGTATCAACAAATTTGTGATGTTTCCTCTCTGCAGTTCAAGAGATTCCACAGAGATGTTATTATCGAGCTGGAGAAGAAGACAGAGATGGATGTCAAATATATGAACGTAAGTGTCTCCATAGAGAAAACAGCGTTTTTCTGTCTCTAATCCAAACACAGTCACAGTTTGAAAGATGGGCATGGTGACCCTGACATCAACAAGTATTTTTAGATATCACATTTTGAACCCTTAATTTTAGCATTTTGTAGTTTGGAACACAGGGTAGACTGCTATGTTATCAGAAATGTGTACCAGAGTTTAAGCTTGGATGGTCTATTAGTACAAATAACCACAGTGCAAGGCATATTTGTATATAATAACTGCATTACAAATCTTCCAAAATCAAAAACACAGGTCGAGAGTTCAGTGGTTCCAATGATCTGAGAAGAAGCCCAGCAGGAAGCTACTAGCGACAAGCACCTGTCAAGAGGTCTACATGTACTTAATGTGGCCACACTCTAATAGTACACAACATTAAGCTTTTATTACAATTAAAGCTTTGGTTGGAAGTTAAAAAGAACAGCTGGTATAAAAAGAATTTTATACCAGCCTTTTCATACCACATGTTGAGTTCTGTTGGAAAGATTACTTTTGGAGCTAGCTAAATTGATTATTTCAGCAAATGCAGTTTTAGGCATTTCTACTTCTTTTTCCCAGAAGTTTCTTCTTGCATACATCTTGTTTATGTAACTATATTTCATGGAAGCTAAGCATCCCTAAGGGAAGTATTGATGATGGTTTAGTTCTTCTTGTTTGTGTAGTGAAATGCCTGTTTTCCTCTTGTTAAATGACTCCTGCAGGCCACCTTCAAGCGCTATCAGTCAGAGCACAAGGTGAAACAGGAATCCCTAGACCGTTCTCAGACAGACCTGAAGAAGCTCAGGAGGAAAAGCCAGGGAAAGCACTCATCCAAATATGACCTCAGAGAGAACGAGGTGAGCTTGAAAAAAACCCAGCTCCAATCTTTCCTGAACATTAAAAGGCGACTGTGTGCTAATACTTTGGATGTTTTTTAAAGTATGTGGAGTTTGAATGCTGACACTCGGCTGGCTGTGAAGACTGGATGACTAGTATAACATTTATTTGACAGGGTAATGAATTGAGGCCAAGGCTTCCCGTGATAGGGATTAGTTTGCCTGTAATATTAGGGCAACTCATTGGAATGAAATTCCACGGTTGCTTTCTTTTTTTTGTATTACATAATAGCGCCAGTGATGACAGGCGTTTGAGAAAGGACACCCTTGGTGTCTTCAAATGTTTTGACTTATGTGGGATAAAAGGGCATTTTAAAAACCTTTCATGTAGTAATAAAACTATCAAAGTCACCGTGGTGAAAGCTGCGTGCAGTTCACCTGTTTTTACATAGTGCACAATAGAACAATCATATGGCTTAAATGACTGTTTTCATAGAAGGTACACACACCCATTTTTGTACAAAGGAAAGCATGCATGCAGGCACAGATTCAAACCCTGTTGAGATTCAGGTTGTATTGGATGCAGCACATCAGATTGGTCTACTAATAAGTTTCATTCATGTAAACCACAAATGTAAGCAGTGATTAAATAAATACAATTCCATTTAGAAAAACCTACAAAAACAGTCAAAATATAGTTGTTTTAAATATCCAGTTATTACTGACTGATGGACTAGTTAATTTGATTAACTTTGAATGCACTCAGGTGTGTGTGGGTGTTGTGTTGGCATATAAATACTACCCCTCCATCATTCTTATCATTGATTTGCATTCTGCTCAGAAAGTTTCCATCATGTAATTATGTTTTCTTATGACAACAAAACAGAAGCATTTCTGTGGCTTTTTAACCTTCAGTCCACTCTGGAAAAAGTGGACTGATATGCTTATTGTGAGACGTAGTGTGATGCATTTATCTAAGTATGGAAACTTAAAGTGGAGTCCACAGTAGCGTCTACAGGTATAGGCTATTTACATTTAAGTATTTGAAGGTCCTTTTTAATAAAATGTTCACAACCAACACCAAAAGTGAAAATTATTAAAATGAATGTCAGTTCAAAGTCCACAGTAATGTAAGGCAAAGTAAGGAAAGTGTGTAGCTGAATTTATCATCGTTATTCAAATATGCTCACTAAGGCTTTTATTATTATTGCTAGCATAATGCTTCATAGTTGGTACTGTACAGTGCTGTTCATCTGCATTGTATAAAGACAATGCTAATGCTAAACTGGATCTACAATGACAGCATGGCTTCATAGTAAAAGTAGAAGAGTCTGGGAACTTGCATGCCTGCAGTCCAGACCTTTCACAAGTTGAAAACATTTCAATCATCATAAAATGAAAAAGATGATAAAGCAGACTGTTGAGCAGCTATATCAGACAGCACAGAGCCTGATCAGTAACTCCTGTCTGTTTATTCTGACTTTACTGAGTTCCTGGCCTTGCTTCTATGATGGATAGTGTCTAAAACTTGTGTATTATGAGATTCTTTAAGGAGTAAAAACAAAGAGCAAAAGAGATCTAAGTGTTCTAGGTTTGCCTCTACAAATGTTGTGTTTTCCTGCTGCTAAACTCTGTATCAGTCCTCTGTTTATCTTTGCATTTGAATGGCACCGTTTAAAAGACACCCAAACAATAAGCTGTGTTGTCTGGGTGGAGCTTGATAGCCTGATCCTGTTTCTCAAGCCGGGTTGAAACTGGGGCCTTTCTTTCCACAGAATGGACTTTTTCATTATCTGATAAAAATGACACCAGTGAGCTACATGCGAGATGAGTCTAACTGCCCAGCTTTCTAATAATGTGTAGGGCTTGAGTAAGGGGCCAGTAATGAGCTCAGCCCTGTCGGCCTGCTCTTCCACCTCACGTCTGGGCAATTTTAGTGGTGAAAATGGGAAATGAAGAGCTTTGATTCAGTGTCTGAGAGAGACACACACATAGAGGGAATGAGACCAGACAGTAGGGGAGGGTCTTTGACAGAGCCCTTAGAGATAGGCTGCTTTACCATCACCATGACAACATGGGGAAATGAAAAAGATTGGGGGAGTAGGCGTTGAATAAAAAAGGGATGGAGTGAAGGTTGGGAAGTTTATTTTAAAGGGTTCAGTGTGCCTTGTGTCAGGGTCCAGTTGCCCGTGTGTGTGGTGTGACGCGTAGACTCAGTCTCAGGCTCTCTGTGGGGAAGGGGAAGACTGATTTGGTCTCCCGCTGAGCTAAGATTGATCCAGGAGCAGCAGGAGACTCAAATAAACTTGTCCCTAAGTGCAGGGACTTTGACTACAAAGCTCATTAGGAGCGTGATTTGTGCATCTAACCTGAGCACCCAAACAGCTTTTGCTCACGGGGAGCCATCAAGAGTCAGTTTTCCCAGTCTTGGGTGTTAAAGCAACAAAAGTCCCCCGATCAGAGGCGTTGGCACCTGGTAGCAAAGAATTAAATAAAATAAAATAAACAGCAAGTATTTTGAATAGTCAC